CAGGGGGCCACGAGAGCAGCTGTATGCACGTGTGCGCAGTGGATGCGCCTGCTTCCCCCGGGGCCTTCTGCGCCCGTTCGGCGTCGGAGCCCATCTGGCCTTAAGTCGGGCCTGTCCCCCATACAGGGGGATTTTTGACGACAAATAAAATATACCCCCCAAATACCTGCATAAGGTCAAACAATACTCAAAAAATAGTCCCCAGACTATTTTCGGATGATTTTTGGATTATCTTTGGAGTATTTCTTAGGTTTCGCCGAAAATCCCCCTGTAAGGGGACAGGCCCGACTTACATCTGGCCGCCGACCTGCCAGACGCCCGACTCGACCCTGCCGGCACGCGAGCCCGCGCGGCTGCCTCTCCACGGCAGCCCCACGGGCTCCGGGCGCCGCTCTGGCTCGGACGCGCCGAGCGGGCTTACGGACGCCCCGAGAGAGGCCCAGCTCTGATTTTGTTCAGCCTGCCCTCCTCCTCCTCCTCCTCCTCCTCCTCCTCCTCCCTCCCTCCCTCCCTCCCTCCCCCTCCCTCCCTCCCTCCCCTCCACCTCCTCCCCTCCCTCCCCCTCCCCCTCCCTCCCTCCCTCCCTCCCTCCCTCCATCCCTCCCTCCCTCCCTCCCTCCTCCCTCCCTCCCACCCCCCCCCCCCCCCGCAGAAGTCCGGGCTCCCGGCATGACTAGAAGCCTACCGCGACATGTTCTTAGAATCCCCAGGAAGTGTTCGAGCCACCAGAAGCATGTTCTCAGAACTTGAGCCCGACGTGTGAAAACAGGACGGTCTCAACCAGAAATGTTCAAATAATATTTCGTGCAGACCACGAACGGTTCGAAAAACATTCTTTGGTGGGCCTATATACGCGAGCCAGGACGCTTCCTGATGGGTGCCCGAACTCTGACGTGTTATGCGCTTCTCGGCCCGTGCGCCGCTGGAGCTCTGGGTCCCTAGAGGCCTCCCAGATGGGGTTGGAGTAGACGGGGCCGGAGGATCGCGCCGCATCGCCGATGCATCGGCGATGCATCGCCGATGCATGGGCGATGCAAAGGCGACGTCGGCATTGAGAACATCGGGCTCCACATCGAGCCGCATCGCCGATGCATCGTTGATGCGGCGCGACCCTCCGACCCCGCCTACTCCGACCCCTTCTGCGAGACCTAGGGTCCCATCCCCGGGGCTCGTGCCTCGCCGAGGACCGCCTCTCAGTGGCCCCAGGGGGGAGGAGGAGGAGGAGGAGGAGGAGGAGGAGGAGGAGGAGGAGGAGGAGGAGGAGGAGGAGGAGGAGGAGGAGGAGGAGGAGGAGGAGGAGGACTTTCCAGGACTTTCCCAATCAGACAGGGTCAGAGCGGCAAGAGGGCCTCGCCGAGAGCGAGGACGCGAAGCGGGGAAGCCCGCCACCCCTGCCGCACGTGCTCGGTGGAGCCACCAGGGCCAGAACCCACCTAGCAGGAGCAGCAGGAGGGACGGGGCCCCGTTTGGCGCCCCCCGAGGCCGCCCTATCCGAGAGGGCGGCCTTCCATTACACGTGAAATCACCCAGGCCCCCATCTTGGTGGGGGGCTGACCGTGGAGGAGAAGGAGGAGGAGGAGGAGGAGGAGGAGGAGGAGGAGGGCGACCCCCCAGGGAGGCCGAAGTCGCTAGCTAGCACGAGCGCCCGCCGCGGCTCCTCGCGCGGCGCCCAGGAGAGGCGACCCCTCCCCGGACCTCCAGCGTGCGAGCAGGAGCCAAGACGGCGCTCTCGCCGCCGCTCTCGGCCTCTGGGGCCCCTGCCGCTACTCCCCAGGGCCGCCCAGCATCGCCTCGGGGTGCAGAGCTGGCCCCGGGGAAGGGGCCCAGGACTTCCCGCGGCCGCCGGCTGCAGAACAAGAAAAACAAACGGCATGAACATAGACTTGCGGCGGTCCGCGCGGATCTCTCGGATCTGCGCTGGACCCCCTCCTCTCGGAGCGCGCCATGGGCGGCGCCGGAGGCGCCGCTAGGGGGGCCCCGCGCGGATCCAAGACATCCGCAAGGAATGCGACAAGCGCATGTTCAGGATGTTTTTTTTTGGGGGGGGGGGTTCTTCGAGCAGCACAAAGCGTCGTTATCGATCGACGTCCTCGTAGGAGACCTCGAACCGTGCAGAGCGTCCAGATCTCGTACGGAGATCCTCGTGTATCCACATCCGACGTACGGATGCACCCTGCCAGGATTCGGGGGCGGCCAAGAGGGGGGCGTCCAAGAGGGGGGGGGCGCAAATCATGGCCAGCGGCATGTGCGCGGCCCTTGGGGGGGGGGGGGCCAGGGACGTAATGAAACGAGAAGAGGCGCCATGCAATCTGGGGAAAGATCATGGCCCCCGCCATGATACCCCCCCCTAGTCATCACCCCCCTCTCGGGGATGGACAGACCTCCTTTTAGTAAAACGTGGTTTAGCGAAAACTACCTCGGGCCCAAACCTGGCGGGCGCAAGCCTGGAAAACAACGGCCGCGGCGCCCTCTCGAGAACCGAAAATGGACAATTCACTAATCGACGTGTCACTGTTGGGGGTTCTGTCCACCCCCGACCCTCTTTGCCGACCCCGAAGGATGCGACCGTCGGTGCCCGAGCCGCGCCGAGCGCCCGGATCTCCGCCTGCGCAGAATCGAGGCGTCGGCTCTCCGGGCCGCGACCGGGCCTCGCCCATCACCCCCCCCTCCGCGGGCAGGGCGGCCCCCTGCGGCCAGGCCGAAGGCGCCCCCCCGCCCCCCCCCCCCCCCCCCCCCCCTCCCTCCCCCGCGGGCGAAGCAGCCCCCCCCCCCCCCGGGGCAAGGCCGCCCCCACGGGCAGGGCGGCCCCTCGCCCCCCCCCCTCCCGCCCTCCTTCGACGGGCCAAGCGGCCCCCCCGGGCCGTGAGCTCCTCGCGAACGCCCGGAGGCCCCTGTAGGGCCCCCCCCCCCCCCCGCCCCCCCCCAACACGGGGGAGGCGGCCCCCCTTTCGGCCAGACGCATGGAGGCCTAGGGCCCTCCCCCCCCCCCACACGGGGGAGGCGGCCCCCCTGTCGGCCAGGCCGCAGGTCGCACTCCGACCGCGGCCGCGCCGGCGTGGCCCCGAGGCCCCCCCTCGCGAGGCCGCGCAGAGGCGTGGCGGCGGCTCGCCTGCGCCCGGGAGGGCGGAGCGGAGGCCTCCGGATCTCCTCCCCTTGCCTCGGGTCAGGCGCCCATTCCCCCGAGTCGAGCCCGAGTCGAAACCCGAGTCGAAACCTGAGTTGCGAATCCTTGCAGTCGGACTCGATGGGACAGGACACGCGGGAGGACACAAGACCCTTCCGAGGGCCACCTTGCCACAGAAGTGCAGGGGGCCTGGGCCGCAAGACACGGGACACGAGGGCACCCTCGATTTGGCAGGGCGGGCCGCCTGCAATCCTTCCTGTGCGGGTTGACTGTGCTAGGCATGGGCGGAGATAAAACACACAACAAAACACACAGGGGAAAGCACACAGTTTCTTTTTTTTTTTGTTTTGTTTGTTTTTGTGTGTTGTTGTTGTTGTTGTTGTTGTTGTTGTTGTTGTTGTTGTTGTTGTTGTTGTTGTTGTTGTTGTTGTTGTTGTTGTTGTGTGTGTGTGCTTTTTGTTTTGTTTTTTGTTGCGTGTGTTTTGTGTGTGTGTTTGTGTTGTGTGTTTGTTGTGTGTGTTGTGTGTGTGTGGGTGTTTTTTTCCCGCAGGGTCTCCTACAAGCAGGTGGGCTCGGCCCTCCAGGGTGGGGGGGCCAGGGGCCGGCAGGGCGAGCAGGCGAGCGGCCACAGGAGCGCCCGGCGCTGCGGGGCGCCCATTCCCCGTGCCTGCCTCGGCGTCGCGCGCTCCTTTTTCGCAGGAGGCCTCCTAATATGCTCCTCGATAGGCTCCTCGCCGGAAAAAGGCACACACGTCCGAGCGATGCCCGAGATGATCCCAAATGGTCCTCGCCCATAAAAAAAACACGCGCGCGTCCGAGCGATGCCGGGTCCCCCCTCGATCCTCCTCGCTTCGAGCTGCGGGCTGCGGGCTTGTCTGTGCACCACGGCACTGGAGCCCTCGCGGCCCTCCACGCCAGCGGCGCTGGGGGGAGGGCAAGAGGAACAAAGAGGCCAAGAGAGAGAGGAGTAAAGAAGGACCGAACGGTGAACATGACGCACGCGAACACGGCGAACTGTTATCCCCCTCCCCCTCCAACTCCGTGGGCGTGCCATCTCAGGGGTTTTCGTGAGCGGGGCGATTGATGAGGGAGGGGGAGGATCGGGATCGGGATCGGATCCGCGGGAGTTCGCCTGCTGCTCATCACCTGCCAGGCCGCTGCCTAACAGGAGTGACGCAAGGGAGCTCCGGGGGACGAAACCTGAAGTCGCTCAACCGTCTAGCGCGGCCCGTGGATCACGACGGACGCCGCACCGCCCCTGCGAGCACCCAAGCAACTTACGAGAAGCCCGCGGGTTAGTGGAAACGGAAGACATGGGAGGAGACTGAGCAGGAGAAGGACGAGCCAGTCACACTCCGCTCACCGCACCTCATGAGGTGGATCTCCTCCTGGATGCCTCCAGAGGCCCCAAGACCCCAGGGGTCCCCAGAGGTCCCTGGACCCCCGAAAGACAGTAACAAGGTACAGCAACAACACATCCTGCCCGAAGCAACGCCTTCGGGGGAGCTGAGCGGACCCAGAACCTCAGGGCTCTCTTCTGTTCCTTAACCCCCACGTCCAGAGAGAGCTCCCCCTCCCAGGAGGTCGGCTGACGTCCGCTGCCCCCCTGCAACGGCACGAGATCGACGACGACTGCCCCTTCTCCTCCTTCTCCTCCTCCATCTCCGTCCTCCTTCCACCTCCCTCTCTCATCTCCCTATCATTTCATCTCGTCTCCTCTTCTCTCCCATTTTCTCCTCTCTTCTCCTCCTCGTCCTCTGGTAACGCCGACGATCACGACAACGATGACGACGAGCGCGGCGACGACAAACACGATGACGAAGACGAGGCCGGCGACGACGACGACGAACACAACGATGAGTACGATGACGAGCGCCTTCTTCCGCTCGGCGTCCATGGCCAACTCGCGCGCGATCCCGACCTGGACCTTGCGCGGGCGTTGCATTCGCGCGCTGGCGCCGAGCGTGGAGCGGGAGGGGGATCATGGGAGGGGGGGCAGAAGTGGCAACTTTTGCTTTGGACCCCTCGAGGGTCGAGAAGGGGGAACTTTTGTGTCATATTTTTGCATTTTGGGCTCCTGTCGGGCCTCGTTGGAGGCCTCCAGGGGCCCTCCCGGGACTTCAGGGGGCCAGGACCAGGTCTGGGGCGGGAGCAAGACTTGCGAGGCAGAAGAGGACTGGTTGAGGGGGCAACTCGAGAAGAGGATGGGGGCTCCCGAAGGGGGCCAGGGAGACACAAACAAATCGACACACATTCAGGATTCCCTGTATTTTCCATATTTCCTGGATGTTTGTCTTCCTTTTCCACTTCCCATATGTTCAATCTTTGTGCTGGGAATCGGCGACTCTTTGTGTCTGTGCATGCTTTTTTTCCCTCCTGACAGTTGAGAAGGAAAACCGAGAAGAGGATGTGGGGGGGGGCTCTGCGAGGCCGTGTGGAGGACGAAAGAGGACGGAGGACGGCGGGGAAGAGACCCTCAGTCTCTGGAAGTCATCCTTCTTCACGCCCTTGCTGTCGCCCTCGACGAGGTTCTTGAAGATCTGCGCCATGGCAGCGTCTCCCACCTGAAAGCGAATGGCCGCCAACCAGACCGTCGAAAGTGGCTGCTCATGCGACGTTCTTTCGGCTGGAATTCTCTCTGCCATGGCACCAGCGCATCGCCTAGCCACGTCGGGCTGAACGCGGAGCCGCGTTTCGATGCCCCCCTTCATGCCTCTCACCTCCCCGCTGCACCTGCAACCTCGTCGGGAACGCCCTCCGCTGGAACCGAACAAGAGTCTCCAATGAATACTGACGGGTCCTGCGCACCCTCGCTTCGGGGATGCGTTCCTTTCCGTCACGCTGCCCATTCTCGTCCTCCACCTCCGTCTTCCTGCTGTTCCTGCTGCTGGTGCTCCTCCTCGTCCTCCTCCTCCTCCTTCTCTTCCTTCTCCTCCTCCTCCTCCTCCTCCTCCACCCCTTCTCCGCCTCCTCCCTCTTCATTATCCTCCTCCTCCTTTCGTTGTTGTCCTCCAGCTCCTGCTCAGGACGGCCAGCGAGGCACCTCATGCACGCAAGGGCAACACGCTGACGCTGCCTGGCCGTACACCCATGTGTTCGCAGAAGCATCCTTTATGATCTCAAGCCCTATCGAGGCTTGCTGCTCGGAGCCCGTCTCCAACGCACGTAACCTTAACCTCCTCCTGCTCCTGCTCCTGGTCCTGGTTATGCTCCTCCTCCTCCTCCTCCTCCTCCGCTCTACTCCCTCCTGTCTCCTCCCTCGCTCCTCGCTCCTCGCTGCTCTCTCCTTCCTCCTCCTGCTCCTCCCTCCTCCTCAACCCTATCCCCCTCCGTCTTCCGTCCTCCTCGTTGGCTGTGCCGGCGGGGCCGCCGCGAACTTGTGGGTGGTCCTTGCGTAGGTCTTCACCTCGCCAAGACGAGGGGGTTGGAGAGAGAGAGGGAGATCGAGGGAGAGGGATGAGGATGAGGATGCTGATTATGATGATGATGATGCTGATGATGATGATGCTGATGATGATGATGATGATGATGAGGATGATGCTGATGCTGATACTGATGCTGACGCTGATGCTGCTGATGATGAGGACGAGGAGCAGGGGGAGGTGGGATGTGGGGGTGTGGGGGAGGAATGAGGGAGGGAGGGTGGGCGAAGATTGAGGAGGGAGGGAAGAGGATAAGGTATCATTGTGGAATGGTGGTGCGAGGGGCTTGAAAAGGAGGGGGATGAGATGGGGTAAGGGAGTGGATGATTGCTGTTACCGTCTGCTGCTGTTGTTGAAGGGGAGGGGGGAGATGGGGGGAGGGACAGGGGGGACGGAGAGATGGGGAGGAGGAGGATGAAGAAGAGGAACGGTGGAAAGATAAGGGAGGAAAGGAACGAGGCTGAAACGGGGGAGCAGACACCGGAAAATAATGATGGGGTTGATTCGGCGGAAGAGGAGGATGGGGGGATTCATTTTACCTGCAAGCTGGTGCAACTGAAGCTTCGAACGGACGAGTTGCACAGACTGGCTGGAAGAGCGATGGGGGGGACACACGAGCAGGAGGAGACGCTGGGGGAGGCGTGCGAGGGGGGCCAGGCGAAACAACTGGACGAGGAGAGCACCGAGGAGGGAGTTGTTGATGATGATGCTGATGATTATGATGCTGATAATGCTGAAGATGATGATGATGTTGATGCTGATGATGCTGCTACTGATGATGATGCTGATGGTGATTATGATAATGCTAATGCTACTGATCATGGTGATGGTGATTGTGATGCTGCTGCTGCTGATGTTGCTGCTGATGATGACGATGACGATGACAATGACGATGATGATGATGCTGCTGATGATGATGATGATGATGATGATGATGATGCGGATGATGATGACGATGATGACGATGATGACGATGCTGATTATGATGATGCTGATGCTGATGCTGTTGGTGATGATGCTGATGATGATGAGGATGAGGGTAGCGCTGGTGTTGTAAACAACAACTTGCGCGCCATCGTAGTCGCCCTCCCAACTACAGCTACGAAGTACACGCAGCAGGCAGGGCGGCGGACGAGAGCACGGTGGACGAGCAGGCGGGGGAGGACGACGGCCGGGGGTTACGGGAAGGCAGCGCGCGCCGAGGAGGAGGAGGAGGAGGAGGAGGAGGAGGAGGAGGAGGAGGAGGAGCAGGAGGAGGAGGAGGAGGAGGAGGAGGAGGAGGAGGAGGAGGGGACAACGAGGGGGGAGGAAGAGGTGGAATGTGAGGAGTTCAGGAGGCAGGAGGCATAAGTTAGCGAGCGATGACAAATGGCCAGACTTCCGAAGTCATGGTAGAACAGGCCAAACTCCCTCCACCTCCCCCTCCCCCTTCTCAAGCTCCTCTTCCTCCTCCTCCTCCTCCTTCTCCTCCTCCTCCTCGTCTTCTTCTTCGCCTTCTTCATTTTCTTCTTCTTCTTCTTCTTATTATTATTATCCTTATTCCCATATTACTCTTCTTCTTCCTCCTCCTTTTCCTCTTCCTCCTCTGACCCCCCGTCTTCATACTCCGCCGACTGTTGCCAAACGGGTGGTCGCCCGTGCACCCTGGCAGAATGGAATCCAACACCTTTCAGGCCTTGGCGTCCTCGGTCAGCGGCCCCGGCTCCTCCTGGAAGCGCCCGATTGCTGGCAGGATACGGCGCGGCGCGCGGCCAGCCGCCCCGCACCAGGCAGAAGGCGCTGCGCGGCGAGTCCGCAGATGAGCGCCGCATCTAGCTGCGCGTGCCTCCGGCGCACGCAGCCGCCCTGCGGCTGGCCGCGGGGGCAAGCTCGCTGGGCCACGGCCGCCGCGATGGGCCCAGAAGGCCTCCGCGCCCTCGCCGAGCCGGCCGAGAGTCTCGTGGGCCGCAGGCCAGCCGTGGTGGCCACGGCACGGGCGGATGCCCCTCCCGTGCTCCTCCGTCTCCGCGGCCCGTGCCGTGCCACCCGCGGCCCGAGGTGCAGCCGGCCGGTGGCGCTCCGCGGGCAGGCGGGTGGTGGTGGCGTCCAGCAGGCAGTCCGGGAACTCCGCGACGCCGCAGCACCACACGTCCCAGCCACGCCTGCGAGACCCCCGGGATGACTCCGGCGCGAGCACGTCCCGACGCACGTCCCCTCCGTCTCCGCCAGGATGCCGCCGTGAAGGTCTGCAGTGCTCTCGTGGCGGAAGTTGCGAGGAGTGCCTCCCTCTCCTCCCACTGCGGCTCCTGCTGCTGCTGCCCGTCCTCCTCCAGCACCTCCTGCTCCTCCTCGGTCTCCTGCTGGCTGCTCCCCCTGCCGCTGCTGCTGCTGCTGCTGCTCCTCCCCACAAGGAGGGGTGAGGAAGTCGAGAAGGAGGAAGAGGAGGAGGAGGAGGAGAAGGAGGAGGAGGAGAAGGGGGAGGAGGAGGAGGAGGAGGAGGAGGAGGAGGAGGAGGAGGAGGAGGAGGAGGAGGAGGAGGAGGAGAAGGAGAAACACCAACGTCAACGCAAGAGGCCAGAATAGTGGAGGGGGAACGGGTAGGAAGAGGAGGAGGAGGAGGAGCAGGAGGAGCAGGAGGAGGTGGAGGAACGAGAATGGTGGAGGGGGAATGGGTAGGAGCGAGATGGGGGAGGAGGAGGAAGAGGAGGAGGAGGAAGAGGAGAAGGAAGAAGAGGAGGAGGAGGAGGACGGGGGGTGATAGTGACGACGATGGCAACCACGACACGACATGACGACGATCGCAATCACGAAGGAACCTCGGGCTTGCTCAGGAGTCCGTCGCCATCCTTGTCGAACTTGGCGAAACTGGTATTCAGAACGTCCATCTGCAGGAGGCGGAGGAATGAGGTGGAAGGTCTCGGTAGCTGTTATCTGTTAGTAGATTTCGGTGATCTTCGGAGGCACTTTGGAGGCTCCGGGAGATTTTCAAAAATTTCGGGAGGCCCCCTAGGTTTCCGGAGAAAACGAAGGATCGGAAGATGGAGCAGGACATAAGTAAGATGGGGAGGGATACACATGACAAGGAGGAGGAACAGGAGGAGGACAGACGGTACAGCTTTGAGGCGAAAGTTCGAACACTGCAACAGCAAGCCAGAGGAGAAACGCGAGATGAGAAGGAGGAGGAGGAGCAAGAGAAAGATGGAAGACTAAGGAGCACATATAGCGATACATATAAGCAAGGAGAAGGGGGAGGAATCCGAGAAGGGGGACACTCAGGACATCTGGAGGAGGAGCAATGAGTGGGATGCGAAACATGAGGATAACTTAAGGAGTCAGGAGGAAGACGAAGGAAGTAGGAGGAGCAGGAGGAGGAGGATGAGGAGGAGGAGGAGAGAAGAGGAGAGGAGGGAGGAGGAGGAGGAGGAGGAGGAGGAGACGGAGAAGGATGATGTTCGGAAGAGGAGGAGGAGGAGGAGGAGGAGGAGGAGGAGGAGGAGGAAGAGGAAACGGAGGTGAAGAGAAGGTAAGGCAGGAGTAAGCGGTGGGGGACGGGACGGAAAGCATTCAGGACACTCCTACCTGCATGGGGCGATGAGTATGAGCGAGGAGTAAGAAAGAGCTGGGGGCAATCATGCGGAACACGAAGAAACATGAACCTGAGGGGGCACACATGCGAAATAACTGCAATTGAGGTGCCAACGAACATGTTCGGGACTTCCAACGCGCAATGAAGAAGCAGAGGGGTGTCGCGAGTCGGAGAGGAGCGGGGTATGGAAAATGAGGTGAATGAAGTGAGACGCCGATCACTGATTGAAGCTGGGGCGGAGGAGGGGGCAGGGCGTAACGTGACGAGAGGTGGAGGCACATTGAGGCTGAAACGCGGCTGCACATAACAGCGGGAGGAGAAAAGGTGAGTGCAAGTCCATGTGTCAGAAACCCAATCCTTTTTCTTGGCCTCGGCCTTCTTCCCCATCTTCGCAACGGTGGTCTTGGCGAACGCCAGTGCCTCGTTGCACTCCTTCGTGCACACCGAGTTCCTGGTGATTGCGGAGTGGAAGGGGAAGGCGACGGGGATACATACATATATAATTCAGCAATGGGCAATGCTACTTTTACGAAGCGATGACTCGGCAAAACTCGGGAGACGCGGTGCTTCAAAACATCGTATGATGTTACACGCAAGGGTTGTATGGTTCAATTTTTCTTGCGTGGAAATCCTGACCCCGCCCGGACAGGGTCGGAATGCTGGCTCTGACCCAGCCTGGCGGGTCAGAATGCTCGCTCATGACCCCGCCCGGGTGGGGTTGAAGTGCTCCCTTGTGACCGTTTGTTTCAGTCTGTGCGTTTCGATCAATACGTGCGTATGTCTGTATGTGATCGTATGTCTGGTTGTGTGTGTGTGTGTGTGTTTCTGCGTGTCTGTGTGTCTGTGCGTGCGTGCGTGCGTGCGTGCGTCTACGTGTGTGTGTGTGTGTGTTTGTCGATATATTGTTCGCGTGCCTGTGTGTGTGCTTGCGCCTCAGACTCTGTGTGTCTCTGTGGTGTTGTGTCTGTGTGCGTATGGGCGAGTTTGTGTAAAAGTGCTTCTGTGTCTGAGATTGTGGGTTTGCGTGCGCGCGTGTGTGTGTGTGTGTGTGTTTCTGTGTGTTTCTGTTTGTCGGTGTGTGGTTCTTTGCGTGCGCGTGTTGGCTCCTTGGTCCTGTGCCTCGCTGCCTTCCACGATCGTTGGCCGTTGCCGTCCTCCTCTCCCCATGCTGCCGTGTGGGTCCCTCCCACGGTATTGCGTGTACCCTCCATGCTATCCACGCCCAAGTGGCTGGTGCCGTTCTCCTTGCCTCATGCCGCCGTGGTGGCATCGCCCACGGTATTGCGCTGACCCTTCCCGCTATCCGCACCCAAACGGCTGCTGTCGATAGGACCGCACCCTAAGCGAGGCTCGAGGGCCCGGCTGCCGCGCGCTCTGTCTGCGGACTTTCTCCGCCTTGTCGCCGCGCGCGGGGCCGCTACCTTCAAGAAAGTATGTGTGTGTGTGCGTGTTGCTGTCTGTGGGTCTGTGCGCCTGCGTCTGTGTGCGTCTGTTTGTCTTTGCGTGCGCGTGTGTGTGTGTGTGTGTGTGTGTGTGTGTGTGTGTGTGTGTGTGTGTCTGTGTGTCTGCCTGCCTGCCTGCCTGTCTGTCTTGTGCGAGTCTGGGCGCCGCAGCTGGGGATCGAGGGGCAGCGGGAGCAACACTCGGAACAATATTTGCGTCTATAGATCAGCGGCAGGGCATCCGTCGAATGCGCTAGAGATCCTGGACATACGCCCCCAGGCGCGCCACGCCTCGGAGCGAACATCTTCGACCCCACCCGCGGGCGGGGTCCGAGTGCTCGCTCATATGACCCCGCTCCGGCGGGGTCAGAGAGCTCGCTCATGCTTCCGCCCGGGTGGGGCCAAATTGTTCGCTCATGACCCCGCCTGGGCGGGGTCGAAAGACATGCTCGTGGCCCCGCCCAGATGGGGCAGAATGCATGTTCACGACCACGCCCGGGATCAGAAGACTCCCTCATGACCCCGCCCAGGTGGGGTCAAAACGCTCGCTCATGACCACACCCAGGCGGGGTCAAACTGCTCGCTCATGGCCCTGCCCGGGTGGGGTCAAAACGCATGCTTCAAGGCTCATCCCCAGTTTGTCAATGCTCGCCCGTCAGGGCGGGGTCCAAATGCTCGCTTGTGACCCTGCCCGGGTGGGGCCAAAATGCTTGGTCATTACACCGCCCAGGTCGGGTGAGAATGCTCGCTTATGACCCCCCACCCAGGCCTGGTCAAAATGTTCGCTCATGACCCCGCACGGGTGGAGTCAAAATGCATACGCGTGGCCCCGCCTGGGTGGGGTCAAAATGTTCGCTCATGACCCCGCCCGGGTGAGGTCAAAGTGCGCTCATGACCCCGCCCTCCTCCTCCTCCTCCTCCTCCTCCTCCTTATCCACCTCCTCCTCCTCCTCCTCCTCCTCCTCTTTGCCCCCACGCAGGCCCTCAAAGGCACCCCCCTCGCTCCCAGATCTTTCTGTTCACCTTCGTTGCCCGCTTCGTTTCACTACATGTGTCTTTTCGTCCCTTGTCCTGTCAACTCTCATGGGCAGGATTTGTGACTGGGCTGGTGGGGATACTTTTTGGTACGCGGGCGCGCGAAGCGAGTCGAACGCCGTGCAAGCAGCAGCAGGCTGTGCCACAAGCTATGGGAAAAACAGAGAGGTGAGCAACGCCATGCACAGAGCGGGACGGAGCTCAGCTGGTGGGGATACGCGAAGCGTGAAGAATTATCCTGCGCGCAGGGCCACCATGGTACCATTGTCTCCCTCGGAGGCGATTCCGCAGGGGGCTGGGAGACGCACCTAGAAACCCTGCTGTGGACTGAGCATTCGCGTGGAAGCTATACCGCCCATCCAGAGGGTTAGCGAAAGCTCTGCAACATTTCGGACCCTCAGATGGCGAACTTCTTGTGGATGCCAGGCTGGCCCCTCCTCTGGCCCAATGTCGACTCGCTACCGGTTCGCCTTGCAGAATGCGTGCGCTCCGCCCCACGACAACCGTGCGTCTTTCGCTTGTGCTGTCGCGACCTCCTCCCTCCCCTCCTCCCCTTCCTCCCCTCCCTCCCTCCTCCCCATCCCTCCCCTCCCCACCCCCCTCTCCCCCTCACCAAGCTTCCGCCTCCCCCAAGGAGTCCCCGAAAAGCTCTGAAAACCAGTCGGGCGTCTCGGAGAACGCGTGAAAACGCAGGAGGGCGTCCAAGATCAGTCGACAACTGCCGCCACGCTTGGCATGAAGGAAAGGTGCCTTGAAAGAGATGGATCCTGGACGCTGTGGCTTTCCCCGGTGCACTTTTGCTCATCCTGAATCGTTTCTTCGTGACGGCCACGGCTGGGGTCCAGGAAGGGACCCAGGCGGTCGAAAATGGCAAATCAACACTTCCAGAACCCCTTTCCTTCAGGACCTCTTTTTCTCCATGGCGACCCTGAACAATCGGCCCCCGGACCTCTCCTGGTAGGGCGTTTTGACCAGTACTTGGAGAATCTGACCGTGGCGACGAGAAGCCTCCCCCAACCAGGAAGAGAGACGTGCCCGAAAACCTCGAGCCTCGAACGGGGGATCCTCGAACCTCGAGCGAACGTCGATTTTTCTGCATGCCCTGGCACGCCGGTACGAATTTCTAAATCCACGGCCCCCGAAACCCCGACCGTTTCCCCGGGGGTATCTTTTCGTCCAGGGTTAAGTCGGGCGTGTCCCCCTACAGAGGGATTTTCGACGAAAAATAAAAAATACCCTACAAATATTCCAAAATTGCCAAACATACTGAAAGAATATTCGCCAGACTAGTTTTTGACTATTTTTGAATTATCCCCCCTGTAGAGGGACTGGCCCGACTTAAGTCCAGGGTCAGCTTTTCATGCCCTCGAGTCTGCCCCCCAGCACCGACACCGAAGCACCACCACAGAGGCCTCTCGGACGGGGTCGGAGCAGATAAGGTCGGAGGCTCGCGCTGCCTCGCCGCTGTATCGCCGATGCATCGTCGATGCGTCACCGACGCATCGGCGCCGTCGGCGATGCGTCGGCGACGCCGGCGCGGAGACAGTCGGGTGCCACATCGAGTTGCCTCCCCGGATGCATCGGCGATGCGGCGCGATCCCTCGACCCCATCTGCTCCGACCCCATCTGGGAGACCTCCGAAACCGCCAGCTGAAAAACTCATACAGGGGGGGCCGATCCACAAGAAACCCAACCCTGAGACCCCAGGACGTCCATTCACATTTGGTGTGGGAGCGTCAGGCAAAGCAATCGAAACCCGAGAAACTCAGGGCACCCTGGAGGCGAGCAAGGTGCTCCCTGGCCTGGGCCTCCACAGCACCGCTGGAGATCCTCGAACCTCGAGCGGCGCATCCTCGAGCCTCGAACGAGCCCCGATCTCTCTCCCCACGGCGGGCCGCCCGCTCCTGGTCACGGCCTTCGCGAGCGCCGCGCCGGTGTCGATCGCACCCGGGTTCGCGGGCAGCTTCGGCGGGAGCTTGATCTTTGCGCTGTTCTCCTGGGAAAGGTGGGGGCCGCCGTCGCCTCCCGTCGTCCGGGAGGGCAGGGGGGAGGAGGAGATCGGGCTGGTTTTGATTTGTGGAGGACAGGGGGGCAGGGGGGAGGAGGAGGGGAGGGGGGAGGAGGAGGGGAGGAGGGGGGGAGGGGGGAGGAGGAGGGGAGGAGGAGATCGTCCGGGAGGGCAGGGGGGAGGAGGAGGGGAGGAGCAGGCCAAGGAGAAGGAAGACAATCGTGTCGTGGTGCGATGGGCTCAGCATGCATTCCAGGGGGTTCAGAGAATCTAGCGGCCCTCGTTTCTGCGGCCAGTGTGGGGCACCAGGGAAATCTTGGAACGCCTGGAAGCCGATCCTGGGACGGGGGTCGGCGTACATGCCACTTTGGTGTGGAGAGAAATTCATATAAATCGATCCTGGGCCCATGATCGGCCTGGCCACGGTCGGTGTAGCTGTATACGCAATTTGCTTCCTTCGAGAGGAGGGGGAGGAAGGATAGGACAAGGAGGACCTCTTGATCTTCTCGATCCGGCGGCCTAGGCGGACGGCGCGGCGGCCGCATTCGGCGCGGTGCTCCCTGGGGTGGCGGTGGAGGAGGAGGAGGAGGAGGAGGAGGAGGAGGAAGATCGGGATCAGGAGGAGGAGGAGAAGGAGAGGGAGACGGAGAAGGAAAAGGATGCGGATGAAGATGAGGATGAGGAGGAGGAAGAGGAGGAGGAGGAGGAGGAGGAGGAGGAGGAGGAGGAGGAGGAGGAGGAGGAGGAGGAGGAGGAGGATCAGGAGGAGCAGGAAGATAAGAAGGAAGATCGATTGATCGGGGATCGGCGCCTGTGTTGGGCACGCACACGCGAATCGCGCGTGCCCGCGCCTTTCTTGGTAGGGCGCACAAGGCCATGGCCCGTTGCCTCACGACACGTGCGCGCAGAGAGGGTGGAGAACCGGGTCCAGGAGGGCGGGGCGCAGAGGAGCCAGGGGGGGGGAGATTGGGTGATGGGGAGGGGCTCCTTGGAGCTTGTTTTTGGAGTGCTCTAGGTGGCGTTCAGGGGCTCCTCGAGGTGTTCGGAGGGTTCCTTCATGCTGCTCACTCCTCCTCGTACTCCTCCGCCATCCTTCTCCTCACTCATCCCCCTTCCCCCTTGTCCTCGTCGTCGCCGGAATTGGGAAGACGGAGAGACAGTGAGTTGGGAGAACATTCAGGCTTTTCACACATTGCGATGTTTCTTAGAGCTGTGGGAGGTTGTCCGCCCATCCCTCTTCCTCTTTTTCTTCCTCCTCCTCCTCCTCCTCCTCCTCCTCTTCCTCCTACTCTAGGGGGAAAACAAACCTACCTCGCTTTTGACCACCCTCGCTTCCAAGAGATACCAAACGATGCCAAATTGCAGCCTGTACTGGTCAGGCCGCTTGACGAGGAGGCGCGTGGTATGGCTTGGTTTTGCCTGGAAGCGAAAGCGGGGTAGGTAATTCACGCTCTGACACTCGTCCTCCTCATCCTCCTCCTCGTCCCCATCGGCACCCTCATCCTCGAGTCCTTGACGAAGTCGGCAGCTGCTTTCATCTTCGCTCTGGCGATGTCACCCTTCTCCTCCACCACTTTGGCGGTCTTCTCCACCTCGGACCCCGCGTGCGAAGAGGAGGGGGAGGAGGAGGAGGAGGAGGAGGAGGAGGAGGAGGAGGAGGAGGAGGAGGGGGAGGAGGAGGAGGGGGAGGAGGTGAGGAGGAGGAGGAGGAGGAGGAGGAGGAGGAGGAGGAGGGGGGAACGGCGGCGGCAATTGCAAGGACGGGAGGGGCGGGGCGACGCACGGCGGCGCTGGAGGAGGATGAGCAGGTGGCGCGCCGAGGGGGGAAGCGAGAGGGGGCAGGCCGTGTCAGAAGGCGGCGAGGCTCCTCTGAAGACCTTGAGCCTTATGGGAAGACCTGGGGCCTTCTGAGGGGCCCTGTACGTTGTCGGCGAAGGCCCAGAAAGCTGCTCATAAGCCCGGAGTCTGCGCCTTTTCTGAGAAGGCCTGCCCCCTCTGCCGCGCGCCGCCGAACGAGGAGGAGGAGGCGGAGGAGGAGGTGAGCGAGGACGCCGAGCCGAGGGCGAGAACGTCGACGACGACGAGGAGTAGCACGCTGAGCGGAAAGAGGAAGGGCAAAGGGGATGCGAGGCCAGGAGTGGCGTGGAGAAGGAGCACGGATTTCGGTGCGCGTTTGTTCGCCCGGATGACGTCGGGCCTCCCTGGGGGCAGTGCTTGAAGCCAAAGCAAGGCCCTGTCGGATCCCTCCCTGGGACGCGCTGACTCTCCCGATTTCTCTTGGCCCCAATCTGACCACCCTTTCCGCCCCATCGTTCATCGAATGGGATTTGGCTGGTGGGGCAGTGAGGTCCATACATGCCCACCGCGACTGACCAGGCCCGTCCTGGGCCCAAGAGCGGTGCATGCGCCCCCCTGACTTGGCCAGGAAGGCACACGCACCGATCCTGGGCTCAAGATGGGCCTGGCCAGGGCCAGTGGATGTTTCTACGGACCTCGTGCCAGATCTGGATCGCCGCAACCAGGAAAGGAACGCGGACGATGGGGGAGATCACCGGTGCACTGGGCGCTCCTCGGCCTAATAGGGAGGCGACGCCGAGATCGGCACGCCCGACAGCCACAACACACCGAGGAGGCGCTCACATGCCTTTCCATCGCCCCCTCCCTCGCTCATCGAGCGGGACTTTTGGAGGCCTGAAAATGGGCACCAACACCAAGACAGGGGGCCGCCTCCACAGGGGGAGATGATCCTAGATGTCGATGTTGGTGGTAATATTTCGGTCACCTTGGAAGCCAGAATATTACCACCATCACCGAGATCGGGATTGCATCCCTCGGTGGAAGCAAACCACCGATATTGGTGTTGGTGTCAACCTTCAGGCCTGCGAGATTTGGTTGGATCGCCGCAGCCTGACAAGGAGCGCGGAGGAGGGGGGAGATCATCGGTGGATTTCGCTCCTCGACCTCGGAGGGCGGAAGCCGAGGCGGGCACGCCCGCCGGCCACGCAGCACAAACGCTCGGCGGCCGGGCGGCTGACGCCGCCCGAAGCACCGCTCGCCGCCCGCCCGCCGCTGGACGGACGAGGTCGGAACCCAGTTGTCCTCCGCCGCCTCCTCCGCCTGGGTCCCCTCCTCTGGAGGAAGGAAAAGCGCACAAGCATACACTGCCGGAACTCCGCAAGTTTATATGTGACTGCAGTTGTTTCTTCTTCGATCCTCGCTCCTCCTCACTTCCTCCTCGCTCATGATTCATGCTCATGCTTCATGCTTGTGCCACCGTTCGACGGCGACGACCCTCCGCGCTCCTCGCTCCTCCTCGCTCCTCCTTATCCTCCTTCTCCTCCTCCTTTGTCTTTCTTCCTCCTCCTCCTCCTCCACGCTCCACGCACCTTCTTCTCCTCCTCTTTCTCCTTGTGCCCCATTCCCCCTTCCCCCTTCCTGGAGGCCTCCCATGTAGGGCCGTGGCAAATGGGGTCGGAGGATCACGCCGCATCGCCGATGCGTCGGCGACGGCGGGATGGAGAACGTCGGACTTCCGATCGCCGAAAGATCGGCGATGCAGCGCGACCGATCCCATCCACTCTGGCCCCCACTCGGGAGGCTAAGAACCCTTCTCCTCCTCCTCCTCCTCCTCATCCTCATCATCAGCAGCAGCATCATCATCAGCATCATCATCGTCATCATCATCATCATCACCACCATCACCACCACCACCATCACCACCATCACCATCACCATCACCATCACCATCACCATCACCATCACCATCACCATCACCATCACCATCACCATCATCATCATCATCATCATCATCATCATCATCATCATCATCATCATCATCATCATCATCATCATCATCATCATCACATCATCATCATCATCATCAGCATCATCAGCATCAGCATCAGCATCAGCATCAGCATCAGCATCAGCATCAAGCATCAGCATCAGCATCAGCATCAGCATCAGCATCAGCATCATCATCATCATCATCAATCATCATCATCATCATCATCATCATCATCATCATCATCATCCCCCCTCCTGCTCTGCCTCCTCCTCTCCTCCTCCTCCTGATCCTCTTCCTCCTCCGCCGCTGGCCTCGGCCCTCCTCCTCCTCCTCCTCCTTCTCCTGATCCTCCCCCTCCTCCTCCTCCTCCTCCTCTCCTCCTCCTCCTCCTCCTCCTCCGGCTTCGCTCCTCCTTTTCGTCCCCCTCCTACTCCTCCTCCTCCTCCTCCTCCTCCTCCTGATCCTCCTCCTCCTGCGCCTCCTCTGGCCTCGGCCCTCCTCCTCTTCCCCCTCCTGATCCTCCTCTTCATCCTGCCGCCCCTCCTCTCCTGGCTCCCCGCCCCCCCTCCCGCTCCTCCCTTCGGTGTGCACTTACGGTTCTCCTGGCAGGAGGTGTCCCGGACGCGCGGGCTCGGCGCCCGGGACGAGACACAGAGGGCACGCGGGCAGCACGCTGGAGGCGGCGGCGGGCGCGCGGGGGCAGCGTGCTCAACGCCGGCGCGGCCCTCGCAAGGGGGAGGAGGAGGAGGAGGAGGAGGAGGAGGAGGAGGAGGAGGAGGAGGAGGAGGAGGAGGAGGAGGAGGAGGAGGAGGAGGAGGAGGGGAGGGGAGGAGGAGGAGTGGGGGGGGGGGGAGAAGGAGGAGGAGGAGGAGGAGGAGGAGGAGAAGGGCAGCTGGTCGCGAGGCCTTCCGAGCCGTCTGAGGAGGCCCCCCCCCCGGGCATCGGATGGGGCCGCACCGCCTCGGAGTCGGGCTCGGATCGGGTCGGCCGCGGGGCCCCAGGTCTGCCCAGGGTCGCCGTGCTCCACGTAGAGCGCCGACCCCCCCCCCCCCGCATCCCCGATGCGGTGGAGAGCGGTCGTTCGGCCAGCGCCCACGCGTGAGGCGAGGGGCGAGGGCAAGGCACCAACCAGCACGAGCAGATCCTGAGGTCCTGAGCGCCCACGTGTGAGGCGAGGGCAAGGCACCAACCCGCACGAGCAGATCGGGTGCTGTGCGAACCCTGAGGTCCTCCTCCTCCTCCTCCTCCTAATCCTCCTCCTCCCCCTCCTAATCCTCCTCCTCCCCCTCCTAATCCTCGTCCTCCTACTCCTCCTCCTCCTCCTCCTCCTCCTCCTGCTCTCCTGTGTACACCTTTGTATACAAACGGTTATGGTTGTAGATGGTCGATTTTGGGTTTGTGTAGTTTCACTTTTCGTTGTATGAGTACGCTCTACTTTGGAGGTCCGACAGCGCGACGAGTATTTCAGCACCGATAAACATATCACGACCAGAGCCCCAGGCCCGCGGCAGTGTCTCAGAGCCAGATCCATCTGCGAGGGTCCTGGGGCCCGCAGAGTATGCCACAACGCCCGGCTCGAGAAGAATTGTCACGCCGAGGCCTCGGGGAATGACTTTGGGAGTCTCCGAGAGCCAGCGAAGCCCACGGGACATCTCGAGGCTCGGGGAGCAAATCTCCGCGGGCATTTCTGCCAACTGTTCGTGCTCTGGTGCCTTCGCCCTTCGGTCCCCCTCGAGAAAACACCATCTAAAAGCGGTTCTGTGGGTTCCGACCGTGATTTTTTCACAACGCCGTGTTTGTTGATGTGGCGCCTGGGGTGCTGGGCGCCACGGCCGTGGCAGAGCGCTCCAAGGGGCTCCTGCAGGGCGCGGGATCGAGCTATGCACACCCTGAGGCTGCCCGAGCATGTTGAGGGGGCCCTGGGACACACAAAAACATACACACAAATAAACATATTCCCCATACTTTCCCATATTTTCTGGGTTTCTGTCTTCCCCCCACTTCCCATAGTTTCGCATATTTTCGTGGGAATCGACGATCAATTGTGTCTGTTTGTTTCTTTCCCTCCTGACATGTGCAGACCCTCCTGAGACGAATCCAGACACCGAGCCCTCCACCCTCTCCGTGGGAAGCCGACGACGTCCAGGAGGCATGCGTGTCGGGGCAAACAAAACCCCCGCGTGCCAGCGGGGAAGGGGAGCCTCTGTGCACCAGGCCCGTCCGCGGGATATTGGCCAGTGCCAGCCAGGAGGCTAGAAGCAAACTTGTTGGTCAGCGGCGACGTGGGACACGAGGGTCAAGCAACAACAACCGGGACGCGGCATGAGCTAATTGCGGGAGCCGGACGGCTGCGCACCGCGGCAGGCCAGCATGCAGGTTCACATGAGGGTGGGGCGTTTGGGAAGGCGAACGGGCGGCATCCATCGTGTCGGACGAACGGTGGGAAGCTTCGCGAATCAGCGCACGTATCGTATTTTCCCGGGGCCTCCTGGCGCCGCCGACCACAGTTTCGAAGAAAACGATCCAGCGTCGGGGCCAGAACCAGCTGCACGCAGCGGATGTCGTATCCTCCATTACCTTCCTCCCCCTCCTCCTCCTCCTCCTCCTCCTTCTTATGCTCCTCCGCCTCCTTCTCCTCCTCCGTCTTATCCTCCTTCTCGTCTCCCGCTTTCTCCTCCTCCTCTTCCTCCTTCTATTTCCAGGAGGCGACAGCAAGATGTGGAGGAAGGGGAAAGGAGTACCAAATATCCCCCCCCGCGCACCAATTTCATCGACATGTCCGCCGCGTCCTTCAGCGGCTCCGCCTGAAAGAAAGCTGGAGAAGATGAAAATGATAATGATCAAAAAAGAAGAATATAATGAAATCCGCCGGCCCCCTTGCGGGGCCACCAGGCTGTAGGCCGGGAATGTGCTGCTCCCTGTACCAGTTGCAGCTTCCAGTTTCCACTATTACAGTTTTGCTTCTTGCTGCTTACTGCTCCTTGTTGATGAACGCGCGAGGGGGGGAGCCCAAACCAGCAGAACTACCACGCCCTGAGGGGGTTCTCAGAATCTCTGGGGGGGTAAAAATTGACACCTCTCACGCAGATCCGCAGGGTCAGGGTCCAAAAACACGATGGATTTGCCTCATTTTTAAACTTCAATGGCACCCCTCACGCAGATCGGCGGGGTCAGGGTCCAAAAACACATGGGATTTGCCACATTTCTGGAATTCGGTGGCACCCCTCAAGCAGATCGGCGGGGGCTGTGCCACATTTCTAAAATTCGGTATCACCCCTCACGCAGATCGGCGGGGTCAGGGTCCAAAAACATATGGGATTTGCAACATTTCTAAAATTCGGTGGCACTCCTCATGCAGATCGGCGGGGTCAGGGTCCAAAAACATAGTGATGTTAAGGGTATCGGTATTGATGTACCGTGCCGAGGGCTGTGCTGTGCCTGGGCGACCTGGACACGTTCTCAGCACATCCTCATGCTAGACATCCGCCTGGGCTACCTGGACACGTGGAAACAACCGTTTTGATCGAGACTTCCTCGACACATCCTCATGCTAGGCATCCACCTGGGCGACCTGGACACGTGAAAACAAGCCTCTGGTTCGAGACATCCTCAACAAATCATCATGCTAGACATCTGTCTGGGCAACCTGGAGGCGTGAAACCAAGCGTCTCGCTCGAGACATCGTCAAGACCTGGGCACGTGAAAACAAGCATTTCACTTGAGAGATCCTCTGAATTCAAGTCCCCAGGAGAGGACAATCTATAACACAAAACAAGCATTTCGCTCGAGACATCCTCAACAAATTATGAAACACAAGTGTTTCGCTCGAGACATCCTCAAAAATAGTTCCGCCGGCTCCTTCAAACTCGTCATTTATCGCGAAATCATTCCGCCGGCTTCCTTCAAATCGATTCCGGGGGTGAACCTCTAAAAGAGAACCCTGGGCCCCCGCCCTTTCCGGGAAAAAACACATGGGATTTACAACATTTCTGAAATTCGGTGGCACCCCTCACGCAGATCGGCGGGGTCAGGGTCCAAAAACACAAGGGATTTCCAACATTCCTGAAATTCGGTGGCCCCCCTCACGCAGATAGGCGGGGTCAGGGTCGAAAAACAA